CGGATCGGTCTACTTTGGAGTCAACAAGGGCTACACCAGATATTAAAAGTTCTGGGCAGAAGGACTCAACGAACATTGTTGGGCGACCAGAGCAGAACGCTGAACAGTTAGTGAAAGAACGAAGGGTCAGAAGGAAATGGACCCGAGAAACCAGTGAAAAGTGATGATGGAGCTACAACCGATTGAATCCAAGCATTCGAGGCCATCAGAAACGGATGTTCCCCATCTGAAAAGAAATGTACCTGAAATCAGAAATGATGGATCAGCGATTATGCGACCAGAAGCGCTCTATCATGCGTAGCAAACTGTTCCCTGACGTTCAGTTAGAAGAAATTAAGCGCAATGTAAAGGATTCCGAAGCTAAAGAACAAATTCGAGAAGCCAAGGAAATGGACGAAACTTATATGTGTCTCAGGTCCCGAATATGACCGGTGTGCGAGGACAACCTGGAGGGACATCCTTCTTGAAAGAAAGGCAAGAAGACCTCAGAAACAAAATTGCTGAAACCATGAAAAGCGCGAAATCACGGAAAAGCTTACTGCTGCCTGAACGTTGTCCCAAGAAGATAGACGAAGAAAATAATTAACGACACCAGTTATGTACAGACAATATTAACAAGTTATTGTACAGTACTGCTTTTGTTTTGTCATAACTGAAGAACTTGGAAATGACGTTGACAAGAAGGTGAAAACAGTGAAAGCAAAGAAGGTGAAATGGAAGATTCGACTTCAGCTGAAACTCAAGAAGTTACGAAAGGGTGCAAGCGACCTAAAGAGTTTGAAGTACAAGAAGTTGAAGAATGCGAAGGTAGAGAAGACTTTTGAGAAAAAGACACCAACATAAGGAATGAACAAGATCGGAGGTACTGGAAACACTGAAGCAAAAGATAACCTCTGTTACGGCAAAAATAACGCGATTGGATGCAAGAATAAACCAGTTCAAGCAGAACATGCTTTTTCGATGTTCTACAGAGATTTCTAGACACAGTTCTAGAACACTTTAACCAATGAAGAGAGTAATAGAGAGGCGATTCCAGATGAAGGAAAAACAGTTGATTTTTGGAAACGGTTATGGTAAACCAAAAGAAGCACCATCGACAAATGGAATGAATTGATAAGCTTCATGAAAAGCTAAAGATCAAAAATATTAAAGATGTGATAATTATGACAGCAAAGCAAGCAAACAGACTCAATGATCGGATAGCATCGAGAAAATCTACAATCCATGGATTTTGGCTAAAGAATCTGACTATGTTGCACCCAAGGTTAGCACAATAGCTCAACAGCATACTAGAAATCGAAATAGCTGCAGTCGATGAATGATTGACGACTGAAGAAAAAACAAGACTTAACATGAAGGATAAAGTTATGAATACTGTCATAAACAAGTATCGGCCAATGACGTGTTTACCGACGATGTTCAAGCTACTGGCTAGAATAGTGGCCGATGCTAGCCAATAACGAGTAATTGCTAAAGATATCCTGCCCAAGGAGCAAAAAGAAATCCACGCAACTCTCGTTGAACAAAAAGTGGATTACTCATTGATAAAATGATTATGAGGAACTGTAGTAGGAGAAAATAAAATCCCAACATAACTTGGTTTGATTCTAAAAAGACTTACTGCTCTTTGCCAAACCAGTGGATCAAGATATTGTCAGAGATGCTGGGGGTCAGCTCTAATATTAGAAACTTTCTGGCAGAAGCAATGAAGAAGTAGAATGTAATGCTGACCACCAATAGAATAGAATTAGGAAAAGTGAAGCTTAGGCGAGGCATATTCTAAGGAGATTTTTTGTCGCCGTTATCGTTATTGTTTGTCATTTCTATCACAGGCGGTCGGTGGTGCTGAACGAAGCGATCTGTCGGTTCGAAGTCGCGGCAAAGTCAGAAAGAATCTCCTACTTGCTGTACACGGTCGATTTGAAGCTGTATGGAAATCCGAAGAAGAAATAGGATCAGGAAACTCAGCCAGAATCGAAAAGTTAACACTAATAATTAAAAGAGGAAGAATCCCCAAATCTGATGGCATGATATTCACAGATTGAAGACTACGAGTACCTGAATATCTCGCAAGATGATGAAATGCAGCCATAAAAAAGAAGACCAGCGCATAATATTTTGGAAGATACTTCTGAAAATTCCGAAATCGTAACTGAACGGTGGAAACACGATAGAGCAATTATCACATGGATCATTCCAGGCATTCCGTGAAACGCTGGAATCGTCAGTTGGATACCAAAGGACTGCGAAACAAGGAAGATCATAACAGCATTTCACGCCCTGGCTCAAAGAAGTGACATCGATCAACTTGTTCTCCCTCAGAAAAGCGGAGGGCGAGGATTGCTGCAAGTGAAGCAAACTGCAGAAGGAGAAGAAAGTTCTCTGAAGAGCTTCGTCAGAGCTAGCAACGAAAAAATGCTGATTGAGGTTTGGAAAGAAGCTATTATCAAGGGGAGTGAAACAAGGATTAATATCGCGAAGGAACCCTGAAAAAAACGCTTCACTGAATACCAGATGAACCGCCTTTGTATGATCAATATAAGCAGGCAAAGTAGACCATACGAATA